GACCTGCTGGAGAGAAAGCTTCCCTTCAGTGTGTGTCCGTGGGAAGCTTGGGTGGCCCAGCATGCGCTGTCTCAGGTACCCCAAAAGCTCCCACAGTCACCCTGAAGGGCATCATCATCTTAAGCCAGTCAGGTACTACAGGAATCAGAATTCGGGGAAAGAAGCATTAGTAGCCACTTTGCCTTGGATACTGCAATGAATGTAGTCACAGCTTGTAAAGCCAAAGTCACACAGCAAAGTCTCCCGGACTGGACTCTAAGAAACCTAAAATGAAATCGCAGTGCTGGCGGTGCTGGGAACAGAGACTTGCACGCAGTGGTTGCCCAATAACATCTGGCTCTTCTTCAGGGAAAGGGGAACTACATGGACGATATGGCCAAGGGGCCCTCAACTGATCCCTGCGATAGCCCTTTCCAAACATTTAAGTCATTTGGAACCTCTTGTGCCTTAACCTCTCCTACCCTGCACTGAAGCAATGAATTTGCAATTTAATCACCCTAAGTGCTGGGCAGATTCTTATTAGAGGTGAATTGGGGAGAAACTGAACAGCAAATTGGGCTTCAGAGCAAACACAAGAACTGAGGATTCCTTTCACTCCTCAGAGATCAGACAAGTGTGGACCACACAGTATTTTCCAACAAATCTGAGTGTCACCAACATTAAAAATCACGAAATTTCAGATAAAGAGGCATTCTTTTTATGTTTCAATGCCATTAATCAGCAGAAATGGGATTCCTCGGCGAGCACGTGGTGTCTGGCTGGCCAAGGAGTGGTTCCCCCTCTGGATGGGGTGCCCACTGGCCGGCTGGCTGCCTTAGGCCACTCTACTCGTTTGCAATCAGAGCTCTCTCTGCCCTCTTGCCCTTGTCTCTGCCACCTTTGGGTATTTGACATGGCAACTGGTGACAAAGTCCATCCCCCTTTTCACCCACAGAAAACTAGTCCCATCTTCCTCTCCATCCTCAAACCCAGCTCTTTGCCACAATCTGTGGTATTCCCAGTGTTCAGACTCATACTCAAAGAGTTTGGGGTGGAGCAGACACTGGGCCCCCTATGTTGAACAGAGACATAGAAGCAACTGTGGCCAAATGGTCAGTGACAGGAGAGGACACAACTGTCCTCCCCACACTGCCCACCTGCAGCCTCACTCCCACCCTGAGCAAACCTGCCTCTGCCTATCCCTGCATCAGAACCTGTTCCCATACACACATTTATATCCTCACAGACTTCTCTTCTTTCTATTATTTCTACTGCTCACTCAGGGAAAAAGCAACCCAAAAATTGCATCATGAAGTATACTTTTCCCTTGCTCAGATTGGATGGTGAACACAGCAGAAACCCCAAACTATAAACACTGCAAAATTTCTCAGGAAGCAGGGAGGTATCAAGGAAGGAGTATGGACCAGAGATTTCAAGACATAATAACACAGGTCTCAGCAAATAACTGATTACTTTGCGCCAAAGTACTGGGCATTTTACAGGTTACTTATTTTTACAACAACCCGACAAGGCAGGTGGTATTACCTTTTTAGAGATGAGGAAAGTGAAGGCAGAAAGACCTGTGCTTAAGTAGACCTTTTTATCCCTGGGTCAGTGGCTCAACCCACTCCCACCTGCCTGCCCAAGCCTGGTCCTGGCCTGGAGAATTCATGAGCCTACTCACGCTCTGCCATTCGTCTCAGGTGCGCTGGCTGCTGTCTTTGACTCCAAGGCACTATTGAAGTTGGAGATGTTTTCAGAGGAGTAGAGGCCGGAGGGGTTGTTGTACTGGTTTGTGATGACCCTGGGGGCAGAGCTGGAGGCCGGCGAGGCGGTGAAGGGCATGGCACTCCGGTTGTGGGCGCTTCCTATGTGCAGGACCTCCTGCAGGCAGAGGTCAGAGGAGAAATCAAGGAGAGTGTCCAACATACCCCCTCGATGGACAGTGCAGGCCAAGTGCCAGGGGGAGAGGTGCTCCAGTGAGCTCCAAGGGCCCTGGCTCAACACCTAACTTCAGCTGAGGGGCTCTGATGTACCCACTAGATATGGGCAACGGCATGAAAGTCTCATGAGAGGGCAGGTTGGTTCACACGCCAGCTCCGCCTCTGGTTCTTCCTTGAGGCCCAGTGAAGTTCATCTCCTACTGGGGAGCCCTGGGCAGGACACCCCAGAATGCCCTGGAGCTGAAACACCCTTTTGGGGTACATTCTGGAAGGACTAAGGTACCAGGAGGACCACAGGCAGTCACTTTGTGGTCAGTTCAAAGCAAGAGGTGATCAAAGGTGGAGATAAAGTCCCCAGAACAGAGAGGGTTAGACAAACAAGATAGACCGGGTGACGCAGCTCTGATTAGGCAGAGATGGTCTCGGTACTCCCATAGGTGTGGCCACAGGGACTTCAGAATCTGTGGCTTCTCGTGGGAGGACAGGGCCAATCGGATGAACGCTAGAGGAGACCTGTTGCAGGGGCACTGCCCACTCCCCTCTGTCATTTAAGAAGCGTCTTCCACCCCACGCCGGCTCGCTGGGAGTTAGGGAGAATTAATAAGCTACAGCACCCCAGAGCTGTTTTACGAACAGCCAAAACTTTGGAAATGAACATCTTTTTTAAAAAAAATTGTGGCTTTTCTGATGACTCAATTAGCAAGGTGCTTTCTACCCAGGCCTGGGTCACACTGGCTCCAGGCAACAGGGCGCTCTGTGCAGCCTGCTGAACTCAACCTGCGCCCTACTTCCTGGCTTCCCCAGAAATCTCCCTGAACCCTGGTCTCTTTCTAACACCAGGCAGAGAACAGCTGCCCCCCCCCCGCCCCCCGCCAAGAGCTTCTGTCCTCCGTTGCTCTTCCTTTTTCGTTTTGGCTAAACCTTCCAGTCTTTCACGCTTTCTTAGAAAATACGATGATGAAAAGTAACACCTTAATTTACTGGGTACTGATTTAAAATAAACGACACTGAGCTGACTTTGTCCACATTGGACCAAAGCTCAGTATACAGAGATGATTCACAAAAGGGGAAGTAAGTCTAATTAGTTAAGAAAATAACATAAGCACCAATCAAAGACCGGTTAAGTGAATTTTATGGCACCATTAATCCAAGAAATAATATGTAGTCATTAACGGCAACAGGCTGGCAGATGGGTGGCCTGGGACTTCGGCCCGCATCCATGGCTGCCCTCCAGCACTGGGGGGAGACGCACAGCTGTAGCCAGGAGTGCCACGCTCCCCTCCCCTCTCCTTTCCACAGTAATTCCGGGGAGCGGCCCCGGATGCTGAGCACCAGGGAACAGCCCTTACTTTTCTGTCTTGGCTCAGTTTTTCCCTATTGCTTCCTGTTCAGCTTTGGACAAGTTATACCTCTCTCTCTCTCACCCCATTTCTCATCTTTAAAATGTAAATAAAGCCTCTCTCACAAGGACTTGGTGTGAATATTAGTGTGCCGAGCACAGTGCCTGGCACACAGAGACATTCAACCAGTGTCTGTTCCATTCTCCCTCCACAGAAATACATTTTTCCATTAGAATGGAAATCGTTAGAAAATTCAGGTTGGAAATCCTGGTTTTCACTTTATAGGGAATCTTCCAAGAATGTATCTGTTTTGTACATAAAAGGAATATCTGTAACCTCATGTGAATACTGGTCTTTCCAGGATTCAGGCGGTTAATTCAGGGCCTGCCTTTTGGAAGGGATGATGTAATTGTTTGGGCTTTGTATTTATCAGTCGCCTAGGAAACTCAATAATGAGGAAATATAAACTAGGTGTGTAACTGCTCTGACCTCAGATAAGCTAGGGTGTTGGTTGACATTACATGAACAGAACTTTTACTTATAGATTAACTCTGCTCCTACTCATCCCTCTGTTTTAAAATGGCTGGAAGTGGAGACGAAAAAATGAAAGGTGGGACGTTTTTCATATGAACAAAGAATTACTGGAATCAAAAGAAAAATATACTCAAGTGAAAAGTTAAAGTATTTGAGAATTTTTTTAACCTAATGAGAACTACCTTCAAAATACTAATACAGCCCTGGCTGGTGGATCAGCTGGTTAGAGCGTCATCCCAACAGGCCAAGGCTGCAGACAGATCCCAGGTCAGGGTACATACAAGAGACAACAAATGAATGCATGGATAGGTGGAACAACAAATCAGTGTTTCTCTCTCTCTCTAAAATCAATAAATAAAAGTTAAAAAAGATTAATATAGGTAACCAGATTATATGTTTAAGATGAAAATTCAAGTATAATACATATAACAATATAACTGAAATTTCATTACAACTTAAAGTGAAAACTAGGACTTTAGGTAGACCAAGTTAAAACTATTCCTTATGTATTATAAAATATATGAGACTTACCACATTAAAACATAACATTTACAGTAGATTTAATGAAGTGGCTGGAAATCCCTGGGAAACTGGAATTAACTGTGGTGTGTTTTAAATTAGTTTGCACAACTGCCAGTTCATAAACTGGGCCCCTAACAGGAGCTGTACAGAGTAATAGGTTCATGTCCATTTTGAAATGTCAGATGTAAAGGGATTCGCAACGTGACTCTTAGAATTCTTGAGTATGATTTTTATTATATTAATGGGAAAAATTTTGTGTGACTAGATTTCTGACATTTTAATGGAAGCCGTCTGAGAAATTTCACTTACATACAACCACTCCCAGTGAGTTCGATTTCATACAAGTTCCTGTTTTACGTATAAAAAATAGCTAGCTCTGTTATCTTTTGATTATATCTCAACTCACCATAAAAACTAGCATCCCAAATTTAGAAGAAAAAAAAATTAAAGCTCAATCTTCAATTGAAATGATATCAATAACACAAACTAGTCTAAATATCACAAAATAGTCTAAAAGAAGTTTTTAAAGGCCATTATCAATTTACTTATTAACTTATCCTTCATCATTAATTTACCCAACAGACACATACTTTGTGAAAAGTAGTCTGTCTGGTGTATGGAATTTTACAAAGATGTTCTAAGCTTTCTTCTTTAAGTTTTTTTCCCTTATTTAAAAGAGAATGCGCATTCACTGTAGCTTATTTAGAAGATGCAATTAAGGAGAAAGAAATAAAATTACCTATACTCTAAGTACTGAAAGACTTACTGACAAATATGGGATCCTGGGACAGTCTACTCTCCCAGGAAATTCACACTGTGCGTCAACTCCCCGCCACATTTTTCAATGTGAATTACCTCTTCACTTTAGTAATTTTAAGGTCTCACTAAAAGTCTCACCATCACAAAAATACAGACTTCCACCCTAAGGACCATGGAAATCACAGACAGTGGGAAACCAGGAGGAGAGCAGAGTTTGCTATTAAACTTCCCCTTAGCTCCTCTAGCTTCCAGGCCTCGAGACTGAAACTTGTTTTATTTTCATCCCGGGCACAACTCATTTGTACCTGAGTGCATAATGAGCTGAGTCAGCTCCTGTATTTGACATGGTCCCGCCACCGCATTCTGCACAGGAAGGCTTCCGCCCGCTTCCCGTACGGCCTTCCTACCCCAGCTGCCAGCCCAGGCCACGGTGTGAGAGCCTTGGGGTTTTCCAGCCCTTTCCTCTTGCAGTTCCCTTACGGGAAGAGCTGAACAAGAGCCAGGACCCAGCAGACAGTGGAGGGCTCTCCCTGTGTCTGATCTCCAGGCCTCCAAGGCAGGAAAAAACAGGAGTGTGCTGAGCTGTGTCAAAAGCAGAGAAGGCGCTATGGTAGTGCGAGGAGTAGCAATGCTGGACAAGTCCTTACTTGCGGTTCAGAGGCTAAATTCATCTTGTACGGATGACGCTTCCCTTCCTCTGTCACTAGAGGAGACCAGACTTTATGTTCAGATCTGCAAGAGATTGACAAAGCTGTTGTTTCATGCATGTTAAATAAATAATACATACCAAAAACAGAAGGGGAAAATGCCCCTTCTTGCCTGACTCCTGGCCTCTGAACCAGCACTCTGCCACCCTTCCCCTCCATTTTGCCACCGGGGTGATCTTTCAAAAGCACCAATGTGATGACATCAGGTCCAAGGGCTATCCATGCTCAGCCCTGAGGAGCATCCCCAGCTGCTGGGACTGCCCGAATCTTGTTCTCCCCCACTACACTGTGTCCAACCAGATAACCAATTTAATCAGGAAGCTTGTCTGGACCTAATAAAAGTGATGCCTCATTTTTTGAGCTTGCAAAGGATTTCTCTGCACCAATCCAACATCAACAATCTCAGCCTCTTCTCAGTTTTCATTAGTGTAGGTTTCTTTCTCTCTTACAGGGAGAGAATATTTTACTTACCTTTGCATTGTCGGAGTGCCTAGCACAGTGCCAGATATACATAAGATAAACCTGTTCAATTTGTTGGTAAATGAATCAGAAACCAATCTATGAATGAACAAGTGAGTGAATGTCTTAAACTAAGGCTTGAAGGAGAAGATTTGGACTGAGGTAGAAGTGGAGATGAGAATGAGGGGTGAATGAGCTCTGGAGAGGGGAGTCAGAGAATGGTGTCCCTCCCAGGAAAGGCACTGAAGTGTACAGAATCTTTGCCATCCTGCCCCCCACTTGGTCCTCTCACCAGTCCTGCAGCGCCAGGTAGAAGGAAACCAAAAACCTACTTCACAGGTGAGGACCTGAGCAAGGGTCCGTGGTGAAAAGCCGTGGAAGTGAAGGTTAATGAGAATTCAAGAGCAGGTTAACATAACAGGAGGTGAGAATGAAGAATGGGAACCGATCCAACAGGGTGTACGGAGCCATCGAGGTTGAACCAAACCGCTTCTGAATTCCTGCCCTTTCCTTCCAATGCTCAAGTGAGAACAGAAGGGGGCTCCACCCAATCGCCACGCGGTGCGCTCTCCCCGCGCCAGCCCGCCGAGGACACCAGCTCTCCCTTCCTCATGCAGACTGGAGCCCGCACTCAGCGCTCCGCCTGGCCCGCCGTCGTCTCGCTCTGTCACCGTCACCTCCTGGCGCAGGCCCCACTGCTCAGCAGCGTGGCGGGGGCCGCGTCCTGAGCAGATTCTCAATGGTTTCCAGGAAGAAGTTCTTTCATTATACCTGACAATAGTTAACTGACCTTACTTCCTCAAAATTCTGGCTAGTTGTACGTATTGGACCAAGTAAAACCGCAGAAAGGTGCCCACAGTGTAAGCAGCACTATGACAATTAGAGGGGAAATAAGCAACCTGAAATTCCAGTTCCACCCACCTTCCGACCTGCCTGCAGTACACACGGTACTGAGCTGGGGTGTAAGGGACTCTGAGGCGGGCGAGGCGGGCCTTGCCCACAAGCAGCTTCCAGCGGGTCAGAAACGAATGGCATTTCCGGAGCCTTACCTGGATACTGTGAGAGTCATGTTGTCTACGCAGCCCTTGATTTTGTTCTGAGCTTCCAAGTGCGTCATATTGCTGGTATTTTCCCCATCGATGGCTGTGATCATATCTCCAATACATAAATTAGCTAAAGCAGCCTTGCTTCCCGGAGTGACCTGGGGAAAGGGAAAGAGCAGCTAGTTACTATTCGTCTCCAAGGCAACCACTGGGTCAGTTACCACTGGGTTAAGTATTCACGGATGCGGATCAGAGCATGCAAAAAGGAGAGGGACTTAAATCATCAGTGTCAATAGTAACAAACCCTTTTTTCACGGAACACATTGTGGAGTACAGAGTCCTTCTCTATATACTATCTCATGGGATCCGTACAACCACCTCATGAGAAAGGACAAATATCAGCGCCCATTTTAGAGATCTGGAAACTGAGGCTTAGAAAGACCTGTGATTTACCTGGGAGCACCCATTTAGTATATTACTATACACGGTGGGGAAAAGCAGGTTTACAGCTGTGAGTACACAAAATACAGAGTTCATTCTTGTATTATTATTTATTAATTATTGTATTATTTTCTGCACGAATAACTGTAAACTGACTTTTGCCCCACCCTGTATTACTAGTTAGTCATCCAGCTTGTTTATTACAGAGCTAGGATTCAAACCCTGAAACCAGACCAATGTTCTTCCCACTGAACCTTATTGTTTCCTTAAAATAAATTGCCCATTACATTAAACACACACACACACACAGAGAGAACATTATGTACAGTGACATCTGGGTCTATAAAAATCTTAATAATTAATGTTATTTATGCATGGAAACAAACACTGCATGCAAAACTGTTCGGTTATACATTTCTGTAATGTTTCTGGTTTTTACAAAGCGCTTGAATTACTTTTGTAATTAAAAAAGGCAATGAAAAATATTTTAAAATCTGTAGTGTGAGTTTAAGGTTTACACTGGTTCACTTCCTCCCACCCAAGAAGCTGACTATGATTAGGGTCATCCCCTATAGGCGGCTGGTTTACTGTAGGTCAACGCTTCTGAACCAATGGTTCCAAATTATGGGCCCCAATGCTTGGGGGAGCGAATCAATGACTGCAATGGGCCATCAAAATCCATCTGCCTTCTGACTATTACATGTGAACTGAATAAATACCATGCCTCACACACAGATGTACAAGTATTTTTCAAGTAAATACAGATGCTGTAGTGTAATGAATGAAATACAAACTCAATTGAAGTAGTACTAATCTCAGAGTAATTTTTTGTTATTGGCCATTTTCTAAACCAAGGTATACTAAAAACATTACTACCATGCCAGTGTCAGCCCATGACTTTGACATAAGACTTTCCTTAATGGAAATTCCAAGTCCCATAGGCATGGAGTGGTGGTAACACACCCAGACTCCCAGCACCCACAGGGTTGTGGCCTCTCCTTGGAGATGGCCTTTGACACCTGGGAGCCCACTGAAGAAAACCTTGTGACAGGTGTGCCTCTGTAAGGCTGAACCAGAGGTAAGAGGCCTTTCAAGGCACCAAAGCAAGACAAACGGCTTAAGCCCTGAGCCTCCGTGGCTGATGCAGTTTGCAGCAGCCATGGTTTCCAATTTCACCACCCTGAAATGAAAAGGCCGCCCCCTCTGAGGGAGCTGGGGTGCTGTCCTGGTCCATCTCCTCATCAGCACCTGACCCCATAAAATCAACAGTGAGCGACTTGATTCTTGAGTTCCCTTCTGGCTTAGACAGGCTGTTACTTTATCGGGCAAAACTCTCCTGGAATGTAGTAGGATGTGGAAACCAGAACAGAGACCTTGACCTCCTAACCTTCCTCTCTTGCTTTCCCATCAGCCATCTACCAGAGAGCCAAGGTCAGCCCTTTTCTCACCCAGCCACTGGGAAAAGACATTTATACAGGCAAGCGCAGGCTCCTCTCCTTCGGTCAACATGGTGGAACCAGCCTCTGAGTCACCCAGTCCAGGCAATGAAAACAAATCCCTCTCCTTTTCTGTCTGTCTTCCTGAGAAGTCTGATCTTACCGTGACTTCATGCATACTTCATTTTCTAAAGAACAATACTCCCGTTGTTTAAAAAAATGGCCCTAAGCATCACTTTATTTGGGATCAGCAATGCTTCTGGATTGGCAAACTCTACCTCCAGAGAAAGCAGCCTGATCAAGCTCATTTATCACAATCAAATCTAATAGTGTTAAAGACAGTCCCCCTAAGGATAAAACCCCAAATCATCGACCAGGTCCCTAAAGGCTGTGCGCCTCCCTCCCAACCATCTTCATGCCATTCCCCCACTAAGGTCTAACTACATGGGTCTTCCTCGTTTCTTTCCCACCGCAGGACCTTAGCACCTGCAACAACCTCTGCCTCTTTCAGGTCTCAGCTTAAATGGCCCTTCTCAGAGAGGCCTTCCTGACCTCCAATCCAAGTTAGATTCCCCCCATCATCCTAATATAGTCTGTTCTTCTTTGTGGTAGCACTTGTCACCTTAGGTTTGTAAATCTACTTTGTGGGTTTACTTATTTAACATCTGAGGCCCTACTACACAGTAAGGTGTGTGAGAGCAGATTCTGTCTGCCTTTGGCACTGTGGTATTCCCAGTGTCTAGCACCATGCTTAGCACACAGTAGGTACTCAATAAATATTTGTCCAATGAGTGATTAAATCTAGAATATCTAGTGTTATTAAATATTTAATCATGTTACTTTATTTAATCCATTAAAAAATGACTATTTTAAAAGGGATCAAATAATCGTGTCCCTCAACATCGCTATCCTGAAATGTGACCACTCACAAAACTAAAACGATGGGGGGTGCGGGGAAAGGTTTAAAGAGATGAAAATAGAAGTTTCTCTTAGTTTTATATGCTCAGCAGCTAAGAGCTCTGGAATTTCCAGCATTTGGTTCAAACTGTCTCGTGGGAGAGGCATTTCTGCTAAGTACATCCCAACAGGTCCGAGACAAGCTAGAACCAGTCTCAAGGGCCCCGAGCCTGAGTAATCAAGGCCTGGACATCCTATCTTTCCGCCTGATTTTTTTTTTAAAGCCAAACTTATGGGAAGCCAAAGGAAATTTTACAAGACAACATCATTAGATAGGACTTGGATAGAATCATATATAAACAGATTAAACTCACCTTCTATGAGCCGTTGGTGTTTTTTTTTTAAAAAAAAGACTTAAACAAATTACAGATTTGCCTTCTAGAAAGCGCTTTCACATCCAATCACCTACTTGAGATTTTAATAATGATGACCTCACCACCAGCATTTAAGTTGACAGATGAGGAAACTGACTCACAGAAGCTGTGACTGACTCAAGTTCGCACAGCTAAGGCTTGAGTCTGACCTTGACACCAGATTCCGTTTCTGCTTCACCACAAAGCCACAGGCAGATGCTCCAAGCCCAAGTGCCAGAGCCAAAGAAAAATCCAGAATTAAGGAGACTCATCTGTGTGGCATTCTACAAAAGGTACCGAGTGTCACAGACTCCTGCCACCGCCTGGGTGCCTACCTCCACAGGACAATCTCAGCTGCTCTGTCCTGAGCTGGGGCCCAGTAACCTCACCCCTTATCAAATACGCAAATCAGAACAAGGACTGGAAAGGCCTCAGGGGAGGCCTGTGTCTCCAACACCGGTTAGTTCCCATCTTGACCGGTGGACTCCAATCTTTACTACACTCTATTCATCGTAATTGTCAGTTAATGAGTGCTTTTTAAGCGCCCAGCACAATTTCAGTACTTGGCAGGGGTTAACTTACCAGTCTTCATGTGATGATATCAGGTGGGAATATTACTGCATCATTAGGAGGAAATGGAGGTGCAGGGGTTAAGTGGTTTGCCTGAGGCTATTAGCTGGTGAGTGGCAGGCTGCGGGCTCCGGAGCCCATCCACTTAACCCAGTGTACCACACCGTCCTTTCTAATTTCCTCCTGACCATCAAGTTCCATCAGAACCAGCTCATGGTGGAGTCAGCTTCAATTTCTAAAATGGAAATCCTATATGTTCCTCCAAATAAACAGACCCATTAGTTAATGCATAGCTTCAAAAACCCTTTCCCAGCTTTCCTCCCCAGAGACCATATAACTCAATCACACGACTCTTGGTGCCTAAGAATGGCTTTGGGCACAACAATTTCCGCGAATGAACAACCTGCCATTTTCCGCAGAATTTGCTCATGTCTTCCTCACCCCTGCCCTCGGTCCCCGGGCAGACACTCGCTCGGAGGCCGGCCTGCACACTCGCCCTGTACTGCAAGGTCCTGACTGCATCTTTAAAGCCTGTGCATTGCTGCCGCACTCCTGAGCACATAGAAGGTTTCGAAGAGTTTCATTTCACTTCTCAATGGTGCAGAACAGAACTATGATATAGCTCTCCTGCTTTCTTCAATTTACATGTAAATAACTATTGCTATGACACAGAACAGCGTGCATACCCACACCGGCCAAGGCAAACGAAGGGGTAACCTTCCTCTGTGTTCCTGCTTTACCCCTCCTCTCATTCACTCATTCATTCTTTCACTCATCAGTCATTTCTTAAGTACATTCTCAAAGACAGTGCAGCTTGTTGATTAAGATGTGGCTTCTGAAGTCAGATGGCCAGGGTTCAAGTCCTGTCTCTGCCACTTATAAGCCAAGTGTCCTTGGATGGGATATTTCACCTTTGTGTGCCTCACTGTTCTCATCTGTGAAGTGGGGACGATAGCTATCCTGACATCAGAAGGCTGTTGTGAGAATGACATGAGATGATTCAGGCAGAGCATACTGTCGAACTCTAAAAATGTGAGCTACTGTTTGTAGATTCCGGGACCCACACAGGCACTGGAATACAGATGGGAAAGGATGGTGCCTGCCATCAAGGAGCCCACAACCTCCTGAGGGAGACAGGCATGTACCACAGCTGATGAGTGCTGTGCAAGAAGCAAGCAAAGAGGCAGTGGGAACCAAGGGGTGGAATCAGAGAAGACTCCCTGGAGGAGGTGTTGCTTAAAACTGTGCAAAGGCACTCAGGAGGTGGAAAGAGCATACCAACATTGTAGGAACAGCAATGTGGACTGCCATGGATGAAACAGGGCCTGAACAGAGAAGGGGATGAGGCTGGAGATGTAAACAGATCAGGCTGCAAGAGCCCTGCAACTTTCCTTCTAAGAAGGTTGTACTTTATCTGGAAAACGACAGAGAAAAACAAAGGAATCTAAACACAGCATCTGACTCGACTCCCCAGTTACTGCCAAGAAACAACCACAGAGCTTTGGTTCTGCTGAGATTAAGGTGACTGAATGACAATACTCTCATGATGGCAGTTTAAAGAAACGGACCCATTATTCCGGGTCACCCAGTCAGCCTC